ATGTAAAAAAATAATGCCTCTCTAAAATAAGATATGAGAATGTATCTCTTCAGAAATATACCATTAGAATTTGTTTTATTTAGGTAACTGGAAAAATCTCAATATTGCTTCTGTGGTTTGAATATGCCTCCAAATTTTATGTGTTAGAAACGTAATCCCCAAATTCACACATTGATGGAATATGGGACCTTGAGGGGGCCATTAGGATTAGATAAAGTCATCAGGGTAGGGCCCCCATGATGGGTTCAGTGGCTTTATAAGACGAAGAGACACCTAAGCTGATACACACACTCTTGCCTTCACACCAGGTGATATTTTCCACCATTTTATGATGAACAAGAAGGTCCTCACCAGATGTTGGTACCTTGACATTGGACTTCCCAGCCTCCAGAACTGTAAGAAATATGTTTCTTATTTTGTAAATTACTCAGGCTGTGGTATTCTGTCATAGCAACAGAGAATGAGCTAAGATAGTGCTATTCAGTTGTTACCATCGAGTTAAATAAATAATCTATTCTAAAGTAAGAAGCTGTTAAAACCCTACAAAAGGCCTTACAGTGTACCTGCAGTACAGTGTCCCTAGAAGAGCACTCAAAATTATTGTGTTTTGAATTATGTTTCAGGAAAAGTTCTGAAGCAGGAACCTCCAAACATGTCTGGACTGTTGGACAAAATAACAGATGAAGAAATACCTTGGAGATACCAGCATTTTAAAACATGTTGGATCAAACATATTTATTTTTGCCCCCTCATCTTCATGTAGCCTTGGTGCAAATGACTACACAAATGTCAGTAGTCTGGTCAATGAGAGAGAATGAGTTTTACTTGCTTTGCTGCCATAGCTACTCTTTCTGTTATCTATTTTGCTAGTCTGAACGAATCCACTTTTTATTACCTCAGGCAGATATAAAGAAATCAGAAATATACTCCTCGGAGAATCTCAGTCAGTTCTGTTTATGCCATATTCAGTTTAGCATTTTGGTGAACATACTCTTTAACAAGCTAGGCCATTTGTGCAAACCCTAAGGGCAATTTAGTCTCAGGCTAAGCCAAAGTGGGAAGGTATCTTGAAAAAAATGTCTACATGGAAATGTTCAGGTTAATGCTAAGTAAGGGAAAGCTGGTAGATTGAATAAAAAGACCAATTTGTATTCATGTAAGAACAATTTACAAACTATTAAACAGGTTTAAAAACTGTAATTCTTTTTTTTTTAGTTGAAATAAGTATTGCTTACAATATTTAGTCACAGGTGGCTATGTGAAATCTGTTTTTCCTCCTAACTAGTAATTAGTCATATGGATACCAATTGGTTAAAGAATGAATGAACTATGACATGTGGCATTTGCTTTTTTTCTGCTGTGAATGAATGCCACTATCTTATCTATGAAATATAATATAATCCTTTAAGAGGGGGTAGGAAAAGTGTCTATCTTTGTAAGTTAAACCTCTGATCTGAAATCTAAATATAGGTCCTATTTGGTGAGTACTTTGATTACACTTAAATCCAGAGAAATCGTTGAGAAATTATCCTCTTCTTTGATGCTTTAGACTCTAAAATATCAAGAATTCATCTAGATACTTCATTCTTAGCTAAGATAATGAGTTGCCTTACTTTTTTACAAATGCAAGAACCTTATACTTTCACATACTCTGAATTAAACTGAACATAAAAGCCATATTTTATAATTCATAAAAAGACTAAAAAGGTGAAGTTCAGGAGTTCAAGAAATTAATTTAACTTTTTATAGAAACATTTGCAATAAATCCCAAGTTAATGAATATTCTGACACTTAATATGTTCGAAGTTTATAGCTTCTTGAATTTAATATCCAAAATACCCTTCAAAAGGCATACATAAATGCAATGAACCAAAAATAAAGGACACCAGAGTACAGACCTAATCTCCATAGTATACGTTAACCATATTATAGCAGGCAATGTATGGAATGTATATAGACTAGTGAAAATGGGTTGATGTTTGTTCTGTAGCATTATCGTAGTTGACAGAAGTAACTTTTTAAAAATTACTATTCCAGAAACATCTTTGGCACCTTATAATGGTAAATATATTAAATGTTACTACTAAAATACAATACAAACAATTATTTTAAGATAAACGAAGTATTTGTTTTATGATTCCAATAAGTTATCTTTTTAAAGAGAGAATTTCAAACCCTGGCTCTTCTACTTGTGAGCTCTGTAAACTTAGGCAAGACACTTAAGCTCTGTGTATTACCATTCCTCATCTGCAAAACAGCCTACAGGGTTATTGTGAAGATTATCTGTCTATATATATGTGTATATACATGTCTATATATATTTATGCATACCTATATGCATATATACATGTGTACACACATGCACAAACATAGAGTGCTTGGAACAGAGTAAGCAGATTAGTATTTTTTTTTTTTTTTTTTTTTTTTTTTGAGATGGAGTCTCCATTGCCCAGGCTAGAGTACAGTGGCATGATCTCGGCTCACTGTAACCTCTGCCTCCTGGGTTGAAGCAATTCTCCTGCCTCAGCTTCCCAAGTAGCTGGGATTACAGAAATCCACCACCACACACTGCTAATTTTTGTACTTTTAGTAGAGACAGGGTTTCACCATGTTGGCCAGGTTGGTCTTGAATTCCTGACCTTGTGATCCACCCACCTTGATCTCCCAAAGTGCTGGGATTACAGGTGTGAGCTACTGTGCCTAGACTTATTATTTTTTATTATGGTTACTTTATTATAAAAAAGCTAGTGAAAAAGTCAACTTCACAGTTGCCCATTTTTAACCCTCTACTTTGTCCTTACCCATCTTTTGTCAGTCTTTTTGCCTTCCCACAGGTGCCTGAGCTTGGCTTGACACCAAGCCTGAGCAACCACTAAAAAAGATGGAATGTGCCCCAACCATTAGCTTCTCAGGAAATCAGATGGCAACAGACAGTTTTGAGCCCACTTTCTTGTTTGTCCAGCTTCCTCTTTAAAGATTCTGCTTATTGGCCGGGTGAGGTGGTTATCACACATAATCCCAGCACTTGGGGAGGCTGAAGTGGGATGAACAGTCGAGCCGGGAGTTCAAGGCTGCAGTGAGCTATGATAGATTGTGCCATTGCACTCCAGCCTGAGCAACAGAGCAAGACCCCATCCCCCACCTCCAAAAAAGATTCTGCTTATCTCTGCTTGGTTGCCCTCCTTGATTGTATAAAACAAAAGCCTTTTCTGTTGAATTCTGAGATCCTTGCAGATTTTTAAAGTCAGAACTTTCTCCCTATTGCAGTATTCTTTCTTCTGAACAAAGTCTCTCTCTATGTCAGTCCAGATTTATTTTATTTGACGAAAAAAAAAAAAAGTCCTTCTTTAAGAACCTCTTTTTCCATTGATCCTTATATTGATGTTTTACATATTGAAGCGTTTTATGCTGAAATGTCTGACTTAAGAGTTTCCTGACCGGGAACATGGGTTTATCCCAGAATGCTATATGCAGAATCCTAATTTTTAAAACAAAGACATGTCCTTATTTACATTCACTAAGCTAGAAAAAAATTCCAATATTCTTCTTCGTCAAAATTTCAATGTTGAACTAACTGAGTCATAAGTTCATTTCCACATTTACCAGAATGGTTAAGAATGTTAGAACACAAAATCTCAAAATCTGTGGGCCTTTTCTATCTTTCATTTTCTCTCCCTCTTCCTCTAAATACACACATAATATATGTATACATGTTTTATACATATACATTATATATACACACACACACACACACACACACACACACACACACACACACTTTTGTCTTCTGGGAGGAGCTGACTTTCAAAACTTCATCACTCCAAGGCCACAGTGATACTCAATATGATTCAGATAGGCATTTGAAAGCTCTCTGAAAGATATATTGATTTACAACTCTCTGATGCTGTTATTTTAGTTTATCTCTCAAACATTAGTGAAAATCCCTTTTGGCATTATATTCAAACTCCATTTTCCATTAATTCTCGCGCTTGATAAAGACATCCAAGGTGAATAGATTACCTTCTGACACCACTCTTTGGAAAGTGCTTTTTCAAACATAAAGTTTGGTCTCTTAAGCTAGAATAAGATAATTCATCTTTAAGATGATATATATTTGCCCTAGCATCAGCAAATATAAGATTCTGGTGCCTAATATAGATAGCATTTAAAGCTTACTGAATTTAATATCCCAAATGTCTTCTATCAGAAATTTAAGAGAAATCCATTTCTTTAAACCTCAAAACATACTAAGAAACTAAGGCACAAATGCTAGGAAAGAAATGTTAATAACCAGAAAACTTTACTTTTAGCTTAATGAGTGAAGTTATTTAACAGTATGCATGAGATTATTTATTTAACAGTAGAAACGCAAATTTTTCTAGAAGACCAGACTGTTCATATACATTAGGTTGGTGCAAACATAATTGCAGTCGTTGCAATAACTTTTAATGGCAAAAACCACAATTACATTTGCACTGACCTATACTTGAGCAGAACTTAAAATTTTCACATTGAAAAACGACATTCCAAAGCCTAGTTTCTCTGAGATCATCATTTTTCTGATTAACCATTTTTAGTTATGTAATTCTTCTCTGTGACCCTATCAAATATCATGATTTATATTCACTAACTTTCTGCTGTCACTGCTAAAATGTGAGTTGACACTAAAATGGTTCCTTTTTTATTGCTAGCGTTTATCATAAAATAACTATATTATCAGAACATTCACAAAGTGATGCTGTCAACAGTATGTTGTTTTTGCATGGTGGGAAAAGAAAGTATTGGTGAAAAATAAAATAAGACTGGAAAATTGTTTCCAGAACTGTGTAAATGATACAAAATGTGAAAACAGCTCAGCTTAACTCTCTTTTAAAGTAGAATCACAACATAGGTTATTCTAAGTACTTAACAGTTTTAACTCCGTGGACTAACTACTGTAGCTTCACACAGTATAAACATAACATTTCAAAATCAATTTTCTTTGAAATTTGCAGTCTTACCTTTCCTGCCCCTTTCCCTTCGGATTTCCGCTGATTTAGGATAAAACGGTGGCAAGGGAAGCAAGAGAAAATGAAAGAAAACAAAAACAAAAATCAGCTCAAGTTTGGTTATTGCAAATACATTAAAAAAAAAAAAAAAGTCAGTATTCCCTGTGCAATAGTACACAGTTTTGTTTGTCTGCTGAAACTGCTTTCATCTGCTACATTCTTCAGTGGTTTGGGTAAAGGGATATAACAGCATTGTAAATCTCATGCAAAAATATGAAGCGCCACATACAAAATTTCAATTGGCATAAAAAACATATGCTTAACTCACTTATGCATCAACCAAGAAAAGGTACCCTTCCAATTAGATATTCTAGTATTATACGACTTGTTTTCTATTTTTTAATCAATGGGCCTTTATTTCAAGCATAAATGCATTTTTTAATTAAAATGAGAAGAACTAGACTCATTGAAAATTCATGATTTGGGGGCAAACATAAGAAATGTTAATATAGCATTGGGATACTATTGCTGAATTTTAAATCAATAGTTTTTGTTGTTCATAGGGGCATCTTAAACCAACTCTGTTCAAATAAATCCTTTTGAATACCATCATGAAAGGCATTCTTTTCATTTTATTTAAGATCTTTCCCCCACTTCAACCACTTTCAGGAGACAGTTTAAGTTACTTTTTAAGATACCAGAGACACATAGACCATTTGTCCTTTTGGATTCATTCTCCTTTGTAGAGGATTAAATTTCTGAATTAAAAGTGAAACAAATGTCTACATTTCTAGCTAATGATGCTCCCAAAAGTCTGTTCTCTGCAATCTTTATCTTAATTCACTGTTCTTTTTACATTTATGGAAAAGATCCTTATAGAGTCTTCCTGAGCACAAAGAATCATAGAAAATTGTCATGAGGGTAGGTTTGAATCTGAAATAAGGGTAAATACTAAGAGAAATAGAGTCAACATAGTAAGAAGATCCATGCTCTCTATGGTGTTTTTGTTATCCAGTGGCTTATTCCCAGACCAAGAAAGTATCTATTTTTTCTGTCATTCTCATATAACTTGAGTTTACAAAATTGAATTTGAGGTAAGCATCCAGATATAGGCACAAACTTATTATCCAATAAAATAATGTATGCTTCTTGTCCTTCTATTTTGAGTGTTTATTTTTAGCCTAAGATATTCATATTATCTCCCTGCATCGATCAGATTCAAACATCAATGGCTCTATTTTAGAATTTAATTTTCTGTGAAGGCATAGCCTGAGGATATTGCCTTGAGTAATGTATTCCAAGAAAGTGTCTTGGATTTTTCTGTCTTTAAACAATCACTATTTATATCTCTCTTTATTATGAATGATATATTTAAATAATAGATCAAAATTTTTAACTTTCCAAAAGAATCTCAAGGACTAAAATATCACCAAATTTTTAACCATATCTAAGAATATAACATTAAAAAATAGACTTTTCTGTTTTATAGAAACACAAACAGTTAGTTTCATTAGAAATTACTGTCACAATCACAATAGATTATTGTTAGATGTTTTAACACTTATCACAAAGCAATCCAAAAGCATTAAAATTTTTAGTGAGCCAAGTGAAAGTGTAAAAATGTGAATTGTATCTATCTTGGTAAAATACTTCATAATTATTGAAAAGTTAATGACTCAGTCAACATTTAAGTCTAGTGAACAATTTGGGGTGAGCATTTCCTCCCCTTACCATTTTACTGAAAAAGAACAACTCTAGAATGTCTTTATTTCCCTAAACTGTATATTTTCATTAAAAGCACTGCTTATGCTGTGCTACTTTTGCCCTTATTTGCAAATTTATCTTGTGAAAAGCCTAAAATAGATAATGTGGGGAATATTAAAATGATAGCCTTTGCATTTATCCACACCATGTAGACACAATACAGTCTGTCAAGTGAGTAGTTTCTAGTGTATGACTACTAAAGAAGCATTAGAATGAAAAGAAAGTACAGAAATATATTGGCAAGCAGATAAGTAGCATGGTAAACTCATACCAGATTTGATGACAGAAATACTAAAAAACAAATCAATGCTGGAAGGTGAAAAAGCATGATGAAAAGCAACTCCTGTTTTAATAGAGATATGGATTTTTTATACTCTTATTTAGAAACTGGCCACAAACAGGCAACATTATATCAACAAAATAATTGCCCAAATTAAATTATATATAGTGAGGAGGGGGAGAAAATTTAATGCATCTGAACATCTATTGGCTCAGTTTTTGCACAATATACATTAGTAATGGAGTGTCGTATGTTCTTATTAACCTCCTAATGTGAGTAATTCTAACACTTACCACCAATAGGTGAACATTTCTCTTACTGCATCTAAATTTCTGGAATGACAGAGCTATTCAAGTAATGAGAGAGTGGAGGTAGAGCAAGATGATGAAATAAAAGGTTCCACTGATAGTTGCCTCAACAAGGAAAACACTTTAACAACTGTCTACACAGAGAAAAACACCTTCATGAGAACAAAAAATCAGGTGAGCCCTCATAATACCTGATTTTAACTATGTATTCCTGAAAAAGTCATTGAAGAGATAGAAAAACACATTCATGAATTGCTGACGCCATATCTCCCCAACCCCAGGCAGAGGAGGCATGGTGCAAAGAGCATCTCTGGGTGTTGGGAGAAGGAGAACACAGCAATCATGAAGTACCCCAAACTCAGTGCTGTTTTGTTAGAGCAGAAACGAAAACCAAACATAACTCAGCTGACAACCTCCTACGGAGGGAGCATTTAAAGCAGCCCTAGCCAGAGGGGAATCACCAATCCCAGTGGCACAAATTTGAGTGCCGGCAAACACTGCGACCTATGGCTACAGCACTCTGTGTCTTCAAGTCAACTTGAAAGACAGTCTAAGCCATAAGGACTGCAACTCTTAGGTGAGTCCTAGTGCTGAATTAGGCCCAGAGACCGTCGGCTGAGGGGCACAAAACCTACTGAGACAGCAGCTGGGGAGGATAAAGAAGGGTTGGCATCACTGATCCCCTAACCCCAGGCTGCTCCGCTCATGGCTCCAAAAGAGATCATTCCCGCTTGAGGAGAGGAGAGGGGAGAAAGGGGAGGACTTTCTCTTGCATCTTGGAAACTAGTTCAGGCGGAGGAAGACATGGCAATTGTCACAGCTATGGGGCACCTATTCCAGGCCCTAACTCCCCAGCAATATTTCTAGACACATCATGGGAAAGAAGAGTATCTGCTGCATTGAAGGAATGGACCCAGTCCTGGCAGCATTTATCACCTGCTAACTAAAGAGCGCTTGGGCCCTGAATGACCAGCAGTGATACCCAGGTACTACATCAAGGGCCTTGAGTGAGATGCTGACACTTGCTGGCTTCCAGTGAGACTCAGTGCATTACCAGCTGTGGTAGATAAATATGGTTTGGATCTGTGTTCCCACAAAAATCTCATGAATTGTAATCCCCAATGTTGGAGGTGGGACCTGATGGAAAGTGATTGGATTATGGAAATAGTGTTCTTGTGAATGGCTTAGCAACATCCTCTCAGGGCCCTCAGTGCAGTTTCCATGTTAGTGAGTGAGTTATCTCGAGATCTGGTTGTTTGAAAAGTGTGTAGCACCTTCCCCTTCCTCTCAGTTCTTCTCCAACCATGTGAAGTGCTACTACCCCTTTGCCTTCCACCATGACTGTAAGTTTCTTGAGGCTTTCTGAGAAGCAGTAGCTGCGAAGCCTCCTATACAGCCAATATAACTGTGAGCCAATTAAACATTTTTTCTTTATAAATTACCCAGTCTCTGATATTTATTTATGGCAATGCAAGAATAGACTCACACAGAAAATTGGTATGAGGAGTGGGGCATTGTTACAAAGACCCCTAAAAATTTTGAAGCAGCTTTGGAATTGGATAACAGGCCGAGGCTGGAAGAGTGTGGAGGGCTCAGAAGAAAAATGAGGAAAAATTTGGAACTTCCTAGAGACTTGTTAAATTGTTGTGACAAAAATACTGATGGTGATATGGACACGCATGGCCAAGCTGATGAGTTCTTAGAGATGAAGGGCTTATTGGGATCTCTAGCAAAGGTCAGCATTATAACTCATTAGCAAAGAACCTGGCAGCATTGTGTCTGTGCCCTAAGGACCTGTGGAACTTTGAATTTGAGAATGATGATTTAGGGTATTTCGAGGAAGAAATTTCCAAGCAACAAAACATTTAAGATATTGCCTTGCTGCTTCTAACAGCCTATGCTCTTATATGTGAGCAAAGAAATGTAAAACCAAAACTTATATTTTAAAAGGAAGCAGGGCATACAATTTTGAAAATTTTGCAGTCTGGCCACATGGTGGTGGGGGGGAAGAGCTCCATTTTCAGGGGAGGAATTTAAACTGGCTGTATAAATTTGCATAACTTAAAGGTGGCTGAGTGCTGATAGCCAAGACAATGAGGAAATCACCTTGAAGGCATGCCAGACACCTTGATGGTAGCCCCTCCCATTACAGGCCCAGAGGTCTAGGAGAAGAGAATAGTTTTGTGGGCTGTGCTGAAAGCCCTGCTGCACTGCACAGCCTCAGGAGACTGCTCTCTGAATCTCAGTCTCTCCTATTAGATAAATAGGGCTCAGGATGCTGCAAGACATAAGTCTTGATGGTTTCCACATGAGGTTAAGCCTGCAGGTGCACTTAGTGCAAAAGTCGAGACTTGGGAGCCTCTGTCTAGATTTTTAGAGGGTGCATGGAAAAGCCTGGATTTCCAGGCAGAAGTCTGCAGAAGGGGTGGAGCCCTCATGAAGAACCTGTATTTTTGCAGTACAAAGGGAAAATGTGGCGTTGGAGTACAGCACAGAGTCCCCTCTGGGACACTCCTTAGTGGAACTGTGAGGAGAGGGCCATGATTCTCCACACTTCAGAATGGTAGATCCACCAACAGCTTGAACCATGTATGTGGAAAAACCACAAGTACGCAACACCAGTCTGTGAGAGCCCAAAGCCACAGGGGCAGATGTACCCAAGTCTTTGAGAGCCCACCCTTTGCACCAGT